TGTAATTCCCAAAATACGGCAAACGGTGGCTATAAAATAATTTTCGCTAGCAAGCCAAACTGAAATGAACCCCATACAAGTGATGTTAAGGTGGAGATTGCAAGGTGCGGTAAATTAAAGTGAATTTTCATTATGATGAATCATTTTAGTGATGCACCTTAATTTCGATGTCGATAGTTGTAATGAGGATTATTATTAGTAGGGTTGTCACACACAAGTTTGCTGTTTTTGAGAGGTTGTACCTATGGTACAGTTATGAATGGCAGTTTAGAGGACAGATTGCATTGCAATTTAAAAGAGAACGCTACTACCCGGTTTCTATTGAATGTATAGTTCTTAGTCGGGTTTTATGATATCCGTGGATAGAGTACAGAAGGTTATAAATGTTTTCTACTGTAAGTACCTTTATACAGCTTAGCTTACTACAAGAATAAACATATGGTTTTGTCCTTATAAGAACTTTATCAAACTCAGAGCCCTAAATCTCAGCTAGACATTTAGTTTGGCAACCCTACAAAGGTAACGAGATTAAAGAGTTTGAAATTGGACCAGCCAGGTGTTAAACAAATTTGATTGCCTCACAGTCATTAGTACATTGCACTAAAATTCAAATTTGTGTGCACATTATTGGTATTGGCGAACTAACGATTTGTTCGGCTGATTTAAACCTCGATCAATGTCTATTGAACATTCGAAAATGATTTCATATTTCCCTAAACTTTGTTAAAATAGGTCTATGTGTATAGTTGTACTGATTCAGTTATCGATGATAATACATAACATCACGCTTTTTATCCCCGAAGGGGTAGGCAGAGGTGGACACAGAAGTAACACTCACTTTTCACAGTTTATATTATGAGTCCCATGTAATAGAGGTGAGCCTATTGCGGCCCATTTCTAAACTTCATGCTACTATTGAGATTTTTTTATAACTTATAATACTTTATTCGACCCGAGACCCCTAGCCCGGCAGTCACACTGGCGACCACTCGGCCGACGAGTCAGTCAAAACATTATATTGAAGAAATTGTTCTATTTTTCCCATTACCGAGTTCAAACCTAGCTAGCTTTTGTCTGGAGAGACTAATGACCTGACAAAAGTTACAGGGATGCAGATGATCGTTTCTTATATCATTCGATCTTAAAGTCATTGATGGGAGCTTAACTTCTGGCTGGTATATTATGATGATCACTTTCACAGCAGACTCTCTTGTAAAAACATTTACAACTTGAGTACCTAAGCATAGTAGCCAATATTTTGTACAGGAGTGTGGGATAAGTGTGGGAGAGCCATGCTTCGGCACGAATGAGCCGGCTCGACCGGAGTGATACCACGGTCTCACACAAAACCGACGTGAAGCAACGCTTGCGTTGTGTTTCGTCGTGTGAGTGAGGTTACCGGAGGCCCAAGTACATACCTTCCCCTTTCCCAATCTCCCCAATTCCTGAATCCCCAACGATCCTCAAACTCCTAATCCCCAAAAGGCCGGTAACGCACTTGTAACGCCTCTGGTGTTCCAGGTGTCCATGGGCGACGACGATTACTTACCATCAAGTGATCTGTCTGCTCAGCTCAGAACTGGCACGGACAAGGGGAATCCGACTGTCTAATTAAAACAAAGCATTGCGATGGCCCTCGCGGGTGTTGACGCAATGTGATTTCTGCCCAGTGCTCTGAATGTCAACGTGAAGAAATTCAAGCAAGCGCGGGTAAACGGCGGGAGTAACTATGACTCTCTTAGTGGGGCTGCCGTCGGGCCCAGAGGGAGAACCCACCCACTTCTTTCCCCGACGTGTAACATCTTCTCCCTCGCCTAACATCTTACCGGCGCAATGCAAAAGATAGGTGGTAGTTTGGGGATCAGTGGGGACCTACCACAACAATCCATGATGATTACGATTATCGTCTCTGGACGCAGGCATCTTTTTGTGCAAAATAGCCAAATGCCTCGTCATCTAATTAGTGACGCGCATGAATGGATTAACGAGATTCCCACTGTCCCTATCTACTATCTAGCGAAACCACAGCCAAGGGAACGGCTTATGCCATAAAAAAAATCCAATATTCAGTTAATTAAATGTAACTATAACTATTATTGAAAATACGAAAATGTCATAGCCATCAATTTGAAATAGTTTGAGAATAATATGTTGAAAATATTTTTTTGTATTCATTTTTAATCCGTAGCTATGAACTGTGTTTCGTTTCTGTGAACGTTTCATTTCTGTGAAATTGCTGTACTATTTTAATTTAAAAGCGAAAATATTTTATAAATTCTTTAAGTATGGTAAGGAATTTGATTTTTCGGAGAAACTCCGAACATTGCCCTCTCTACAGCTCGTTTATTATCATCAACAGCCTATAAATGGTAACTTATGACCAAAGGCCTCTTCTTGCACGGAAAAGATTTGAGCATTAATCACCAAGCTTGCTCAATGCGGGTTGACGATTTAAAATTTAAAATTAGATACCTATTATAAGCTAAGGTTTCCTACGATGCTTTCCTCTATCGTTTGTCAGTAGTGTCTAGATAATCTTAGAAAGTATAAGTACTTAGTACAAGTCACATTGGTAGTTGCCGTTGGTAGGTTTCCAACCTGCACTCCGACATGTAGCGTTGTGCGACCTTCAATTGGAGAACCAATCATACTGTCAGTGCCCAAGTGTGATATCTGTTTGTCGAAAATAAAGAAACCATTAGATATTTGGTTTTTACTGTTTTTAGGCAATCAGATATGATGCAATGTGTCGGACCTTTTACCATACCTAGTAAATAGTACCTCTTTAGTACTATGATTTGTGTAATGTAAACTTAGAAATCTTGCTGGATATTGATGAAAAATTTAATTTTATATTGTGAGATTTTGAAAACATAAAAACGGGTTTTTAGAAAACGACTATAGGTATTAGGTATCGTTTATGTTATGGCATTACTAAATCTACAAAGTCGTGGTTGATTTTTCATGTTAATTTAGACTCTAATCATAGACGATATGATACAAATTCGAGTTCCTCTAAAATCCTCTTGTTCCATTATATGTATTTCATAGTTAAAACTTGAATTTTAGAGAGCCTTGCAATAGACCTTATACACAGTATAGTTTCATGCGAACAAAATGTAGTTCGAAAAAACTAATATTAGGTTCTCTATTACCTGTATTAGTGTTAAAAACTAATTATTATTAATTAGTTTTTAACACTAATACAGGTTAGAATACCAGAAAAATTGTCTTTTTAGTTGATTAATTTCATTGCGAATGAGATTTTTATTTTATAACTAGCTTTATAGCGTCGGTCCGTAAACCTTCGCTGGGGTTTACATGTTTGTTTCAAGTTTTTTTTATAGCATAAACCGGTAAACGAGCAGACGGATCACCTGATGGTAAGCAATCGGCGTCGCCCATGGACACCTGGAGCACCAGTGGCGATACAAGTGCGTTACTGATCTTTTGGGGATTAGGAGTTTGAGGATCGTTGGGGATTCAGGGATTGGGGAGATTGGGGAAGGAGAGGGTAATTGGGCCTCACCTCACTCACACGACGAAGCACAACGCAAGCGTTGCTTCACTTCGGTTTTCTGTGAGGACGTGGTATCACTCCGGTCGAGCCGGCCCATTAATGCCGAAGCATGGCTCTTCCACACTTTAAAGTAGTAGTAAAGTAGAGCAGGTAGGTTGTTCCGAATTTTACGTAATGGGTATCCACGGCAACTGTTAATTTTATGGAAATAAAAGGTACGGTTATCAAGTTGGTCCCGTGAGTTATTAAAATGCTAACGATGACATTAAAAACAAACTATACAGTTGTTGCCATTGATTTATTAAAGAAAAGTATATATCCTCTTGTCTGTTAAAAGTTGCGGGTATAATGTGTTTTATACCGGGAGCTGGTGTTTCAACAGATTAAAGGATATTTTACTCTCCATCGCTGAAATATTCAAACACCACTCATTTTTAAGTCATGTATAAGTATACTTAGTTCTGTCTCTACAAATTCATTCTAAAATGACAGAGACGGCACGATATTTGAGTACAACCTAAAATAGAGTATTCAGGTGTAAACAATTAAGGTAGATAATAAACAAAAAAAAAATAAATCACATATTTGTTATAACCATAAAGTTTTGCAAAAAACAAAAGATTGCAAAGAAACAGAACGTGTTTAACGTCCACAGGTCGTACATCAGGCTAAACACACACCGTCGGGTCCGAGGTTCGATTCCAATAGTTATGCAAATAGCGACTTGGAATGTAATGAGTGGCCGGCAGTTATTTAGACCTGCGTCGTAAGTCAAACTCTGGTTCGGAATTGAAGCTGGGACAGAGGTATCTGTGGAGTAGAATTTTGTACTTATTTAGTGAATTTTAAAATTTGGTCGATTTAATGTTCTGAATGTTTTTTCTATATATATGAAGATATACAGCACAATATGATATACTAATGTCTATACGTAATATTTATGAAGACAAGTCAAATAGAAATTGTCGTTTTCTATATAAATAACTATATGGCAATAGGATCACCCTGTATTACATGGGAGTCGTAACATAAATAGTGAAAAGTAGGTGTTACATTGTACAGTGGCATAATGTGCACCTCTGCCTACCCCTTCGGGGATAAAAGGCGTGATGTTATGTGTATGTTATGTCAAAATAAATATTCATTTTTAATAGAGTACGTATCCCCTTGTTTGGATAATTGATAATAATTAATGAATTCTTAGCTATAGTATACACAAATTATATTATAGATTTGAAAGCATACCCATACAGCCACTTAAACACGTTTTGCTATAAAAGATAACTCACAAATTATATCGAAACAGTAATTTAATTGTACAAGGAATGGAAATCATTTTAAAATCACTTGCTTTAGTACGAAATTCAATCAATTATATTGTTGCATTAAAATTACATTAAAATGGACTGAACAAGATGGACTCATTAAAATTTAAAGTGGATAATAGGTGTAGGTCCACTGGGTGAATTTAATGACTGACTGAATGAATGAATGAGATTATAAAATGGTTACGGATACATTTTGGAATTGCGCATCGAATGACTGCTCTCTCCACCTAGGCGGGAGCAGTCATTCGATGATTTTCCACCGAAAAATCATCGAACGAAATATATTGTGGAAATTCTATCTCTATTTGCTAAATTGACCGTCAGAAATGAGCATTCATTTTAACCAAACCAAAACCACTGTCATCGCTATCTAGTGTTATTGTATTCGTCCCTTACTAGCTTCGGAAAACAATAATTCTATTCAGCAATATGTTGCATTTCACTATTTAATTGTGTAATAGGTTATTACATGGTAACGTATTTAAGTGGAAATTTTCAAAGCAGCTGTACGCAGAATATATGTATAATAAAATAATAATAAAATGTCATGGTGGCCCGGAGGTTTAAGACGCCCACTTCTCATGCATGAGGGTGCGGGTTCGAAACCTACCAACGGCAATTACCAATGTGACTTTTACCGAGTTATATGTACTTTCTAAGATTATTTAGACACCACTGACAAACGGTGAAGGAAAAAACATCGTGAGGAAACCTGGACTTATAATTTTCTAATTATAAAGTTTGAAATTGCCAACCCGCATTGAGCAAGCGTGGTGATTAATGCTCTAACCTTCTCCGTGTGAGAAGAGGCTTCGCTCAGCAGTGGGCATTTATAGGCTGTTGATGATGAAAATGATAACTGACCAATTTAAACGAATAGTGCAAATAGTATAATTATGAATTTATAGCATCATGACATTAAGCATTTATAGTATCATAACACATCATGAAATTAAGCGGCTATCTTACTAGTTTTATTGCAATATTATAATCTTACCGCTTCTGCCTCATTGACCAAGTGGTCGTAAGTGCGACTTCCGGGCAAGGGTTGGTACTAAAATCTCAGTAGTATCCCAGTAGTAGCAAGGAATCTGGAAATGTGCCCAGTATATAGCAATAGGCTCACCCCTATTACATCAAACTCATAACATAAATAGTGGAAAGTTGGTGTTACATTGTAAGTACAGTGGCATAATGTGCACCTCTGCCTACCCCTTCGGGGATAAAAGGCGTGATGTTGTGTTATGTTATAATCTTGCAACATCTTACTAATAGTATAGTTAGTGAGTCTCTATGTATGTTTGTACGGGATTGGGTTGAAATTTGGAACAAGGGAAGATTATAGTCTAGGATAATACATAGGTTGCCTTTATCCCATGGGAATGTGGGCGGTGCTGCTGGTAGAAGCTAGTATGTATGTAAATATAGACTCAAGTCTAGTATCTAAGCTACTTCATGTCCCGGCAAATGTATGGTTCCCATGGGATATCTCAAACCCAACATGTATCCGTGTATGCACTATATTAGGTCATCTTCTACGCTTTATGATGCTCTGGTACTCGGTGAAAGAAACTCTTTGGATATTTTAATTCTTTTGGCTCCTTCTACTTCTTCTGCTATTTTTTATCTTACTTTAAAATTATACTATTTTTAAACTCATAAAATAAACAAAGGCTAGTCTGTCTGCACATAACTGTTTGTTGTATTATAATTAGTTGACTGAATTGGTATCTACCTATATAAAATTGAAACCCGTTTCCCGTTGTCACGCCATAATTTGAGAACGGATAGACGGATTCGGCTGATTTTTGTTGTGTTTTTTACCGTCAGGAGAAGGTTCTTACGACAGAAAAAAGTCCTGAAAATCCTACGGGAATGAGAGAAACGGGATTGCGCGTACGAAGTCGCGGGCAGAAGCTAGTAGTAAGTAGTAGTAGGTCATAAGATTGATCAGGGGTATTCAAAATGTATCGAAAATCCAGTTAGAATATAATAATTTAACATTTCAATAATTTAGCTTTGTTATTAAGTTGTATTCAGTCATTACTTTGTTACCTGCGAAATTGGTATTGAATTCGCTGAATAGTTTAATGTGGGTAATTTAGTGCATTATTCTGCTTACCTATTATTCAATTCTTTATTGCTATTTGATTGAACATTTGTTAGGGTTTGAGGTTTGCTAATGCAATTTAATTTCAGTAATGAATGAACTTCATTGAAGTTGTGTTTGGCGAAATTTTCAACAGATATAAACACATTTGGTGTTCGAGGAACCCTTTTGACATAATGATATTAATTTATTCCAACCGAATTATGATCGAAATTAATTATTTTACTTAGAAACACGTAGTATGGAATCGTAGCGAAAATTTGACTACATATTACGAGGAAATCATAAAATAAATTACGAATATTGCGTGTATTTGTATACTCTGCTAAACCTAACTTACTGATTAATGATGAAGCATTATCCAGATTTCTTGCTTAGCAATGGCACGTGCAACGCAGTAACGAAGCAATCAAAGTTCAAATAAAAATTGCAAATAAAAAATGTTCACAAATCGATTCCACGGCCGGCCCCGTGCCACGGGCTCACACCTCTACAACCACAAAATTAATAACACCTTGTTTTTTTACTCGAACCACACTCTTGCACTTATTATTATTTAAACTGTATTTCGAAACTTTATTTATTGTTATTTATATAACATATGTTGATCATTTTTCAATGTTTCTACACAATTAACACTTCATTTTCATTGTTAATCATGTTTTTTATGTGTGTAATGTTTTGTTTTTAGTATTTATGCCTTAAGAGTTGAATATCGTATCATAAATTAAATGTATGCATGTTAACAATGCCCGAATGGGTTTTGGTACCGATGACAAATATATGAGTTGTTGACGGTATCCGATGTAGCGGCTGTCTTGTTGATTGGAACATTTGTTTGTTGTCGCTGCATCGATCGATACTTAGATGTAAAGTGGACTGCTGCGGGCTCTTTCGTTTATTTTAAACGTGATGGACACATTATTAGCAGATTATTTGAAACATGCGATTTTTTATCGAGAGTCGAATGAGTAGTCGGTGTACCATGATTGATAACAACTGTAGTGTTTAGAGATGACAATAGGAATACTATTCGGATTTAGTCTGGACATTGTCTATATAGCTAGAAACAATGAGAGTACACGGATAAAATAATAAATATCTTATGGATAAATTCTAAACAATCTATGTGGTCGGTCTCTGTTCTAACTTAATATTGTGTTCTTTTTTAATGCTAAAATGATATTTGCTTCTACGATTTGTCTGTGGTTCGAAACTAGTAGAGCTTTCCTGAGTGAGTAACCCGCGATTTTTAGTTGAGTGAGTGCAGTGGATTAATAAAATCTATATTGCCGTAAACCGATCCTGAAGAGGGGTTACTAACGTAATCACAGTTAGCATAAATAATTTAATTACCTGTTATATATAAAAATTGAACCGGTTCGTCTGCTGAATAATTTAGCGTAAGTAAGGACGTGTAAGGGGTTTATAAGGCTTAAAAAAGGTTATTTTCAAAATTGCTTAATTATTTTATGGGTAGGAGTTTTCTATATTCTCACTAGGCACCTAACAGTCTAGATTAATGCTCGATATTTAGATAACACTGCCTCGTTGGCCCAGTGGTCGCAAGTGCGACTGCCGGGCAAGGGTTCGATTCCCGGGTCGGACAAAGTACAATTGGGTTTTTATAAAATTCTCAGTGGTAGCACGGAGTATATAACATAAATAGTGAAAAGTAGGTGTTACATTGAACAGTGGCGTTGAGTGCCGTAAGTACACCTCTGCCTACTCCTTCGGGGAAAAAAGGCGTGATGTTATGTATGTATGTATTTATTTAGATAACAGTGTTAACTAACTCACCTCCTATCACAGTGAGTTTCTTAACCATAGATAATATAATAACTGTTTTTAATATTTCTGTGTTCTTAAAGGGTACTGCACACAGAGGGCGTGGCGGGACGGGACGGGACGGTGACGCGACACCGAGCAGTTGTAATGTACTAGAAATTACGGACGCCACACAAAGCCGTCCCGATCGACGCGACGGTAACCGACGCTCTTAACAAATATGAACTTAAGTGTGAAATAGGTCAGTAGGCGTATTATGCATGCAAGTACGTGCTTATTATTTTGGTAAACCTCATAAGCATGTACAATTGTAAGTACACTTCTATCTACCTGAATGCGAATCGTTCATACTCGTAGGTTTGTTTTAAAAAAATAGTTGCTCCATATCATCGACAGCTTATAAATGCCCACTGCTGAGTAAAGCCTCTTCTCACATGCGTCTCGTTTAGAGCTTTAATCACCACGCTTGCTTATTGCGGGTTGGCGATTTCAAACTTATAATTAGAAATTACGAGCCTAGGTTTCCTCGCGATGTTTTCCTTCACCGTTTGTCAGTGGTGTCTGAATAATTTTATAAAGTAAAAACTCAGAAGAAGTCGCATTGGTAGTTGCCGTTGGTAGGTTTCGAACCCGAAGTGCGTCCTTCCGCTCGCGTCTTTAACCTCCGAGCCACTGCGACATCTTATAGCTCGTTGCTCCATATACGGCATGGAATTGTACCATCACCGATTTTACGATGGAACAATGACTGTTTTTCCATTTATGTAAACCGACCTATGTGTGTATAAACACATAATACATTTTTTCTTTTCTTTCGTTTTCGTCCACAACCCCGTTTTATGACGGGTTAGGAACCCGGGACGAACCGAGCCCGCTGTAAACTCAGATTGTTTGATTTTTAATTGCTTTACAACTACGCCGGCCGTTTTTATTTGATTTTGATTTATTGTTTTATATTGTTAGCAGTATACGGAGTTTGGTCTTGGCGTAATTTTGAAGGTGTGTTTAGCTATGTTTTAAATTTGTGGTCACGCAGATTTGTGTGTTTAAATTATGTTGCAATACGTACGTACTAGGTAATTTGTTAATTGTTTGTTATGGTCCGTTTAAAGGGTTTGTTCCTATATCATCTTGCGTTGTTTCGACATTAGATTTCACTTGGTCTTTTTTGCGGTTGATATTTTTTTCGTGATTTTGTCTGCTTTGCAATCGCACCATTATACATAACTGGTGAGCCTTATACTTTCGTGCATGCATGTATTTATGCAAGCAGCTAAGTGGGTACAGCATAAGAATTAGGA